AGGGATGGATAGAGGAGGAGGAGGAGGAGGAGGAGGAGGATGAGGAGGAGGAGGATGAGGAGGAGGAGGAGCAGGAGGATCAGGAGGAGCAGAGGAAGGAGGAGGTGAGGGGGACGAGGGTGAGGAGGAGGAGGAGGATAGAGGAGGAGGGAGGGGGAGGAGGAAGAGAAGGAGGAGGAGGAGGAGAAGCAGAGGGTGGATATATATATATATATATATATATATATATATATATGGAAAAGAAACATAATAATAAGACTAATACGACGAGCCTTAATCATAATAATAATATTGACAAATTAATAATAATGCTACTACTAATAATAATACTAATACTACTAGTACTAATAATATTCTCCAGGCTCACGCCACATCCGCCGACCCCTTGAGTCGTACCGGCGGCTATCGCCGCGTTTCCGCCTTCACTGCTCGTAGCTGCCAGGCGTTACAGTGCAGTGGCAAGTGCCAGAAGAAAAGATTGAGAGGGCCAATTTTTGCGCCGAGGGGCCCTCCTGGGACGCATCTTGGAGGCCTCTTGGGGCCTCTTGGGGCCGTCTTGGGCCGTCTGGAGGCGATCGTCGGTGTCTTTGATCGCTCTTCGACCGTCTGTGACCATATTGAGCTCTCTTGGAGGCCACTTGAAGCGCTCCTGGAGCGCTCTTGGGGCCGTCTTCGGGGCCCTCTTGGGCAATCTTGGGCGCCTCTTGGGCTGTCTTGGGGCTCTCTTGGGCTGCCTTGGAGCTTCCTTGGAGGCTTCTTGGACCGTCTTGGGGCGGTATTTAGGGCCTCTTGGGCCGTCTGGGAGCGTCGGAAAGCCCAAAAAGCGAATTCGTGAAAAATGTACGTTTTACGAAGGGAATGGGCCAATTTTTGCGTCTAGGGACCCTCGTGGGACGCATCTTGGAGGCCTCTTGGGGCCTCTTGGGGACCTCTTGGGCCGTCTTGGAGGCCTCTTAGCCCGTCTTTGAGCCATCTTGGGCGTCTTGGAGCGCTCGTTTGGCGTCTCGGGGCTCCCGTGGGCCGTCTTGAAGGCCTCTTGGGGCCATCTTGGCCCGTCTTGAGGCTTCCTGGGGCCCGGAAAAGCCCCGGCGGCGCTCGTCCCGGGCCCCGGCGGCGCTCGTCCCGGGCCCGGGGGGTGGGGGTCAAATCGCCGGTTTGGGGTCCCGGGGGGGGGACTATAGGGGGGGAACTATCTCACACGCCTAGAGACCCACAAGGGGTCGGCGGATTTTGCGAGGGCGTATCAGGCGGGAGCCGTTGTTGTTGTAGCCGAGGGGCCAGAAACACATTTTTAGCAGAAGTACGTTCGATAAAAAATCAGGGTGCGAGCCACGAGGGGTACACATCAGTTGAAGAATACAATGTGCACCCGTCGGAGGGTATCAACATAATGTTTTTTCTCGAACATGAGAGTTCAAGAGCAACAGCAACACCAACAACACCACCAATCCGCACTGCGGAACCCCCGTTTCGCCTTTCGCCACGCACCCAGGGACAGTCACTGACCCTTCGGCCCCTTCGCCCTCTTCAACGAAGCTGCAACATACCCTACCATCCCAAATGCCCGTTTCGGAAGTCCGTGCAAGCCCTCCTTGTCACTCCAAGAATTGGCTTCTTGAGCACCTTATGGGCGTGCCATGTAGGCGAGGCCCCTGTTGTGAAAAACAGACATGCACTTCCTAAGGAACGCGACGCGCCGTCCATCGAGATCCTCGTTTTCACCACGAGCCGCCCCGAACCCGTGTAATTGGCGCATGGCCTCCTGCAGTTGTGATCATGAGATCCCAACGATGTCCTCAAGCCAACAGAGTGTCCGTTCTCCAACCGTGACAGCTGCCACACGTTCTCAAGTTTTTGGTTGGTAACGTGTACGAGAGTTCCATTTCGAATGGGAGCCGCCCTCCATCCGTGTATAGAAGTGGTTGCGCAATGTTGCGCGTATGGCCGTGTTTCGGGGAAGTCTCTTGCGAGAGCCACGTTTTGAAGACGTTCCGGCCTCGCCCATTCAACGGTGTTAAGCGAGTCGGGCGGGTGTGCGCGAGGCGAAAACGAGAACCACAGTTTGAGCAAGGATTGGCCTCTATGACTCTAAATAGTTGCTGCCATCTTCCAGCGGCTATGCGCGGGGCGAACACAAGATCCCCATTCTGATCCAGACTCCATCGCGTAGCTGTCGGAAGCTCTGAGAGCTCCAGGATACACATTGTCATGGAGCCTCGAGCGACACGCCCGGGCTGTCCAGGCTGTCCTGCGGACGCGTTTGGCGGTGCGAAAAGGAGGAGTTTCTTCAGAGAGAAAAAGGGATGAACACATGGAAGTGGATGGGGATGACGAACATCCAGAAAATGTGCTGGATTATAGCATGGATTGGGATCCTGGCGTGAGTGCTGCCATCCGCCTCTGGCTTCTGTGCCCCCGCGCGGGCACTGCCAGCAGGCACCGTACATCGACCGGCCTGCCGTGCTCGGGCCCTTCGCGTCGGTGCGAGTTCTGGCCTCGCTAGTGTCTTCTTGGCATCGCTCGGACGTGTGCATTCTTCCTTCGGCGAGGACCATCGAGGAGCATCCTTGACCATTGAATGATCATCATTCGGCGAAAAAACCACGCACGAAACCCAAGAAAAAGCAGGGAGTGGACGTCCGAGCGATGGCCAGTCTTCGGGAAGATTCAGAGCGGTACGGGCGCAGGAGCCCATGGTGCGCAGGAGCCCACGGTCGTGGCGCGGGGTCTCTGCCTTCGTGGGCATCCCGGCCGCGGCTGGCACAGGTCGAGGGTCGCCTTGCGCTCCGAGATCCCCGACCCGACATGTACATCAAGTGGGCTCCGAACTCTTGACCCGGTCCTTCGGCCCGGTTTTCCGCCGGGGTCGCTGTCTGATGGCAGCGCCCGGGACGGGCCCCGTCTACGAACAAGCCCTCAGTGCTGTCAGCGAACGCAGTGGGGCGCGGCGTAGAGGAACTGCCACGCAGGATCGTTGGATTCGGCGGCTTCTTCGGCCCGGAACTGCAACGGTCTCGGACACGTTTTGACGGAGCGGCAGTTGATGAGTTGCTGCGGGGGGAGATCCAGGCGCTGCCCGTGGATACGCACACGGCGATGTAGGCAACGGCGATGTGGGTTTCGGTATTGGAGGTGGGGATGATTCGTGGCCAACTCACTTGCAGGAAAGGCTTGTTCGCGTTTTCCTGGAATCTGTTTTACGCGAGCTCGGCGTCGCAAGAACCATAACATCGCCGTTAGCGTGGCCTTGGGCTCTGCGTTTCAAGACGCCCTGGATGCGGTAGAGGGAAACAAAAAACAAACTCTCCTCCTACCCACAAAATTCGAAGTCGGCACGCGCGGAGGAGGCTGCGGTCAAAGTGCAACTCATCAGACCCACCGCCGACTTTGAACATTAGGTGGAGGGGGAGGCGTGAAAAATCTGACACGAGTGTTTGCTATTCTTGTTCCGGGGCCTGTATTGCTCGGCGGCCAGCGAGGGGTGGAAGTGAGAAGAAGAAGGCCTTCTCGGAAGGCGGCGGAGCTTCTCAGAAGCCCGTGCGCCTTCTGAGAGGCTTCCTGCGTCTTCGGGGAAGGCTCAGGAAACTTCTCAAAAGGCTGGGGGGCTTCCGAGCCTTCTGAGAAGGCCCGCTCCTTCGCACTTCCCCTTCCGAGCTCGCCGCCGAGATTCGAAGGCGAGCGTTGACAGAGGAACGTGGCCCGAGTGTTCGCTGTGCTGTTCCGAGGCACGAGTGTTCGCTGTGCGCGCGCCCGTGCCGACGGGGACGCTTGCGAGCCTTTTTTGTAGATTCCGGCAAGTTCATTTGCATGGACGGAGGAGGGTGCCTGAACCTGAAGCCAGCCGCAAGCGACTGGCACGTGCGGAACTCACGCAAGGCGAAAAGGCATTTGGCGCGCCATAGCATTCGTTTCAAGAGGGGCTGGGGGGGGTGAACGCCATGCAAGTAAACTTGACTGATAGCTCTCCGAGGCCCGGGTCCTTGAGCTGCGTCCGCCCGTGCCCACGGTGACGCCTGGGCTCTCGGCTCTGCCCGAATTCCTCCGGCCTCCCAGAGGGGCCTCCATATAGGGCCGGGGCCGGGCGCGGCCCTTGCGGGCGGGAGCTTCTGGGCATATGGTGTCCTTCGGAGGCCAGGGGGGCTGCGTCCAGACCTCCTCACGCTGGAGCCTTTTTTTTGGACCTGGGCAAGTTTACTTGCATGGCGTTGGCCCCCGCCCCCTCCCCCTCGCCCCTCTTCAGACGAGCACTGTCGTACAAGTGCCTTTCGACTTGCGTGGTTTTTCTGCACTTGCAAGTCGTTTGCGGCTTGCTTCAGGTTCAAGCCCCCCCCGGTCCATGCAAGTAAACTTGCCGGAGTCTGACAAACACAGGTTCTTGCAAAAAATCACGATCGCCTCTGCTACTCGTTGTCCTCCTGCCCTTGTCCCGATCCTCCTCGCCGGGCGCAGGCGAGGCAGAACCAGCGCTCCCAACCTGCTGCGGCGAACTTTCTCGTGCGAAGTGGGAGCAGGTGTGTACCACCTGTTGCCGTCTCACCGATCACTGCTCGAGGGGCTCGGGGCCATGCAGGGCGCACCGTTGCGGGGCGCAGGCCGTGACAGCAAGAGCTCGCCCTCCTGCCAGCAGCCTATCCGTTCTCCCCCCCCTCCTCCTCTCCGACGGCAGGCACACCAGACGTGAAGACGGCCTGCCCTGTGAGCGACGGACAAACAAAGCGGGGCCCTCTGCGCCGGCATCGGCGCACGAGCAGCCATTCGTGAGGTCGCGCCCGAGCGCCCTCGCCTCGGACGCGGCGCGCCGCGCCGGCGGCCCGCGCAGGCCGCCGCGCAGGGTCGCGATGCGCTATGCCATCTCGCGTGAGGCCCGGTTCTCGTCGTCGCTCATGTGCGAGGAGGAGGAGGAGGAGGGAGGAGGAGGAGGAGGAGGAGGAGGAGGAGGAGGAGGAGGAGGCCTCCATGTGTGTTTCCTCCCGGCATTCCGTGCCGCGCCTCGGGCGCAGGACTGCCTCTTCTCCGGCTGGGGCGAGTGGACCGAGTGCTCGGCCACGTGCGGCGAGGGCCGCCACACGCGCCAGCGCCGCATCGAGGCGCCTCCGCTCGGGGCCGCTCCTTTTTGTTGCCGGCGCTGGCGGAGGGCTGGCGGAAATAGAAGTCGGGGGCGGCAAAGAGGGGGGTGATGACTAGGGGGGGTGGATATCGTGGCGGGGGGCATGGTATATCCCCAGATTTCATGGCGCGTCTTCTCATTTCCCTACCTAGGCTCTGCCTAGAAGGGTTCTTACTCAGAGGCTTAAAGGGGCCGGGCAGTGTAACCCGCCCCGGGCGGTTCCCCCGGCATCCGCCCCGCGGTTCCCCCAGTCCCCTGGGAGCTTTAGCTTTAGCTTTAGAATTAGCTTAGCTTTAGCTATAGCTTAGCTTTGGCTTAGCTTTAGCTTAGCTTGAGCTTAGCTGTAGTTTAGTTTAAGCGTTGCTTTAGTTTAGCTTTAGCTTAGCTTGACCTTAGCTTGGCCTTAGCTTGACCGTAGCTTTAGCTTGAGCTTAGCTTTAGCTTAGCTTTAGTGTGGCTTTAGCTTAGCTTTAGCTTAGTGTTACCTTAGTTGTTTCTTAGCGTTAGCTTTGCTTTCGCTTAGCTTTAGCTAAACTTTAGCTTAGCTTTAGTGTTAGCTTTAGCTTAGTTTTAGCTTAGCTTTAGCTTAGCTGTTGCTTAGGTGACCTTAACTTGACCTTAGCTTTAGCTTAGCTTAGCTTTAGCTTAGCTTGACCTTAGCTTGGCCTTAGCATTAGCTTGGCTTCAGCTTAGCTTTAGCTTAGATTTAGCTTAGCTTTAGCATAGCTTTAGCTTAGCTTTCGCTTAGCGTTAGCTTAGCTTTAGCTTAGTTTTAGCTCAGCTTCAGCTTAGCTTCAGCTTAGCTTCAGTTTAGCTTCAGCTTAGCTTCAGCTTAGCTTCAGCTTAGCGTTAGCTTAGCTTTAGCTTAGCTTTAGATTAGCTTTAGCTTATCTTTAGCTTAGCTTTACCTTAGCTTTAGTTTAGCTTTAGGTTAGCTTTAGCTTAGTTTTACTGTTACTACTAATGCTGCTTTCCTAGGTGTTCCAACTCCTAGGTAGGGTTGCACTGGGATGATTCAATATGTCTCAGGGCCCCCCCCTGCACCGCAAACATGCCGCCGGCCATGAGTTGCGCCCCCCCTCTTGGACGCCTTCCTCTTGGCCGCCCCCGAAGAAGCAGGGCGTTCGCATTTTGTGGAATTCAAGGTGTTCCACATCGGCCACCCGAGTGCTCCCCTCGGGGGCGGCCAAGAGGGGGATGACGATTAGGGGGGTGATCTCATGGCCGGCATCCTTCCCCTTCGGCCCATCCCTGGCCGCTTTCGCTGGCCGCGCCCCACTCGCGAGGTGCCAACGTGGCCTTCCAAGGCCCCCTGCCTCCTCCTCGTGCGCCCTTCTAATGCGGGGGGACTGTGTTGGACGCCGCTGGCACCCTCCCACCTGGAGGGTTTCTCCGAAGGGCTTAGGCGGCCCGTCCTCCTCCTCCTCCTCCTCCTCCTCCTCCTCCTCCTCCTACTCCTACTCCTATCTTTATTCCTTATTAGAATATACTCCTACTCCCCCCTCAGGCCGGCAGATAGGGGGCCCATCCGGGTGGTCCCATCCTAACCTGTAAAAAACAATACAACATCAACATTTTTCTTATTTTTTCCTCTCGACATGGACGTCCTGTCGTCCACGGCGATAATCCATTGCAAAAGATACCACAAAGAGCACACGCGCGCGTTCATGTCAGAATCCTACCGAACACAGTGTGTTTGCAAGCATTTCAACATAAAAACATAACAACCAATGTTTTTTCACAAAAAATCTACACATTTCCTGCCCGGGCTCTCTTGCTGAAATCATAGGAAAACCATAGGAATCTTAAGAATTCGGTCAAATCCAGCGATTTCACGTCATCGCGCGGTGCACTCGCGATGCTCTGTCATGCACCCAGGCCGCGAATCCTGTGCAAAAAATACCACGCGGGCGACATGCGCGCGCGTCGCCGCGAGCGCATGCTCAAATCCTTCTAGAGTCGTCGCCGTCATTGGCACCGTCGCATGGACGTCCTGTCGTCCACGTCGCAAAATGCATGGCAGGAATGGGACCCGGCTTACCGGGCCGTTCTCGACACGGCCACCTCTGGCTTCCTGCGGTGTACCGGGCCATTCTCGACTCGTCTGGCAATGCGTGCGCGGCATTCAACACGCGCTCGCCAGTTCCCGTCGGCAACCGCCATCGCGGCCGCATCAGCTGTACCAAACCGGCTGGCCGGTGTGACTTCGGCCCCCAGTTGTGCCAGCTTTGCTTCTTATGTTGTGGGAGGGCGGGTGGGACTGGGCATGCCATGCTTGACTCGCTCGAGCTGGCTAGCTTGACTCCTACTCCTATCCTTATTCCTTATTAGAATATACTCCTACTCCCCCCTCAGGCCGGCAGATAGCGGGCGCATCCGGGTGGTCCCATCCTAACCTGTAAAAAACAATACAAATCAACATTTTTCTTATTTTTTCCTCTCGACATGGACGTCCTGTCGTCCACGGCGATAATCCATTGCAAAAAATACCACAAAGAGCACACGCGCGCGTTCATGTCAGAATCCTACCGAACACCGTGTGTTTGCAAGCATTTCAACATAAAAACATCAAAAACCCAATGCTTTTTCACAAAAATTGTACAAATTTCCCGCCCGGGCTCTCTTGCTGAAATCATAGGAAAACCATAGGAATCTTAAGAATTCGGTCAAATCCAGCGATTTCACGTCATCGCGCGGTGCACTCGCGATGCTCTGTCATGCACCCAGGCCGCGAATCCTGTGCAAAAAATACCACAAAGAGCACACTCGCGCGTTCATGTCAGAATCCTACCGAACACCGTGTGTTTGCAAGCATTTCAACATAAAAACATCAAAAACCCAATGCTTTTTCACAAAAATGCTTTGGGGTGTCCTGTCAGACCGTCGGGCTTCCTCCGGCCACCTCTGGCTTCCTGCGGTGTACCGGGCCATTCTCGACTCGTCTGGCAATGCGTGCGCGGCATTCAACACGCGCTCGCCAGTTCCCGTCGGCAACCGCCATCGCGGCCGCATCAGCTGTACCAAACCGGCTGGCCGGTGTGACTTCGGCCCCCAGTTGTGCCAGCTTTGCTTCTTATGTTGTGGGAGGGCGGGTGGGACTGGGCATGCCATGCTTGACTCGCTCGAGCTGGCTAGCTTGACTCCTACTCCTACTCCTACTCCTCCTCGGGTCGCCTACGGCCCGGGGGGGAACTGTGCACTCCCACCACCCTCGATCCCCAGGTCCCCCCCCGGGGGGACGTGAGGGTGACCCCGCGGCGCGCCTCGCGGCTCGGGCCGGGGAGGCGCCCGCCTCCAAAAGGAGGGCCCCTCGCGAGGGCGCGGAGGCAGCCGCGCAGCGCAGCGCGCGGGCCGCGGAGCTGGGCGGCCGCCCTGCCTGGGAGCCCGGGCGGGCAGGCGTGTGGAGGCTTGCTGGGGTGAGCCCAGACCCCCCTTCGGGTCATTCGGGTTGGCCCAAAATCGGGCCGGACGAAAGGGGGGGGTTGGGAAAGAAAGGGGGGGGGTACGAAATCTGCTGCATGCAGCTGGTTTCGGCCTCACCGAGGCGCCCATTCCTCGATACATAGCCGCCTCCGGCGCCGGGAGGCGCCGGGAAAATCAGCTACGTTAGCTGATTCTCACTCCCCCCCCTTTGCTATCCCCCCCTTTCGCCCGACCCGACAAAATGGGGGTCACGCGACAAGGGGGTGGCGGAATAGCATTGGAGGCAATGGATTTGTGAGGCTGCCATACATCTTGGGGCGCGCAGCGCATTCCGGGGCGCAGATGTGCTGTTGGATTCTCGCGTGCAGCGCACTGCTTGCAGTACAATGCAGTAGAATTCCCTGGCGCAATACGTTCTCAATACGATTGCCCCGAGTCCATTCCACCACCCCCGTTCCGTTGGACCCCCTTTTGGGTCACCCAAAGATGAGCCCAGACCCCCATCGGGTCATGAATCAAAAGATCACGTCGTGAGGCTTTATGCTGTTTTCGGCCTCTTGGGGGCCCTCGCCTGGCCCTGGGACCGTCAAACACGTCTCTGGAGGAAAAACTGGTCCCGGGGAAGGGAGTGGGTCCGGACCTCGGGGGCTCGACGTTAGGAAAATCGGGGGCGGAAAAGAGGGGGGGTGATGACTAGGGGGGGGGGGGGATATCATGGTGCGGGCCATGAGATCTCCGCAGATTTCATTGCACCTCTTCTTATTTCATTACGTCCCAGGCCCCCCCGCTTGGCCGCGCACATGCCTCCGGTCATGATTTGCATCCCCCCCTCTTGGACACCCCCCTCTTCGCCGCTCCGGATATGAAAATATCATGAGGTCGGGGGTCTGGGAGCAGGGTCTCCCAGCACTTGTGCATGTGACGGCGCAGGTGTCGTGCCCAGTGCTGGTATGTACCTGGGCTGGCGATGAGCCTTCATTGGTCCTTGAGTCGTTGGGTCCTCGCTTCCCCCGTCCTCCCTCGGCCCCACCTCGCTGAGTCCCCGCACTCCCTCCCGATGGCCCCCTGTCGCCAGGCACGGCGCATCTCTTTAACAACCTCCGCGCACCCTCCACCTCGTCACCCCACTTCTCATCTCACTCATCTCCTCCTCGTCATGGACTCCCTTCTCCTTTTCTCCTTTTCCCTCCCTTTCCATGCTCCCCCTCGGGTTCCTCGTCATCCTCCTCTTGCTGGACCCCCTTCAGACTCCTCCTCTCCGGACGTGTGATTCTTTCCACACCGAGGACCATTGAGGAGCATCTTGGAGCCTTTTCGGGAAATAAGCGCACCACGTCGACAAAACACTGGAAATGGACGCCCAAGCGGTGGCAAAGGCCATAGCCCCCACCCCCTTCCCTACCCCCCACTGGCCTTGCATATCCTTGCCCTCCCCGTCCTCCGTCCCCTCTTTGCGACCGCCGCCAGGTGCACGCGCAGCACGGCGGCAGGCCCCCCCCGCCCCACTCGGGGCAGCAGCCAGACCCGTTGTTGTCGCCGCCGCCGCCTACGCCATGGCCGCCGTCAACGCTGCAGCCGCCGTCCACGCCACCGTCGCCGCAGCCGCCGCCTCAACCGTCACCGCGGCCGTCGCCGCCGCCAACACTGCCGTCGCCGGCGTCGTCGTCCGCGCTGCTCCTCCACGCCGCGCCTCTGGCTGTCGTTGTGTTCGTTCCCCCCCGACATCGTCCTGACGAAGGACCCAAACATATGCAGGCGTGGTTACCGCAAGGCAGTTGTGACGAAGGAAGGGGGGCTCCCTATGGGACCAAAAGCGTGTGAGGGGTGAGCCGAACTGAAGGCAGGTGCCGCATACGAGCCCTGCCGCTGGGACCTTCGGTGGGGCTCTCTATGTGGCCACGAGACGTGTGAAGGGGGTGCCGACACAGAGGCGGGTACCGCATGCGAGCTCTGCCAATAGGACTTTCGGTGGGGCTCCCTATGGTATCATGAAGCGTGTGAGGGGTGTGCCGAAATGCGGAGTGCAGAGGCAGGGACGCAAGAAGGGAGCAGGGGGGGAAGGAGTGAAAGAAGGAACGGAGGAAGGAGTGAACGCGGGGCGCTGCTGATTCAGAACGAGGACCCAACACCGCATGATGGTTGGGAAAAGTGCCACCTCGGACGCCCTTGCAGTTTGTTCCCCAGAACTTCTGGTCCTTCTGGACGCCCCTGCCAGACCTAGCCAGCGGTCTTAAAAGGAGTCAGGAGGCTGGCCAAACGGCCCTGCGAGGACCACAAGCGGCCCCAGACACCAACCGGCCCAACATGCTCCCAAGAGAGCTACATGACAGTCCAAAGAGGCTCCAAGACGTCCCCCGAAGCATTGCAATTGTTTACGCTTGGCGAATCCCCACCAGCCCATTCCGAAGCCCTGCCCATGAGAGCCGACGGGAAAAAGTACGAAGAGACACACACAGTGAAACAGAGCGTGCAATGAGAGGAAAGGAAGGAGGGTGTTGAGCCATCTTGGAGGCATTCTTGGAGTATCGGAGGCCTTTGTTGTTTTGGAGCATCTTGGCGCCCTCTTGGGGCACTCTGGGGGTCTTGGGGTCCTCGTGGGGCTCTTTTGGAGCGCCTTGGGGCCCCCATGGGGCGCTCTTGGGACCATCTTGGGGCCTTCTTGGGGCGCTTTTGGGACTCTCTTCGGGGACTCTTGGAGGCCCTGGAGGGCCTCTTGAGGCCATCTTTGGAGCCATCGATCAAAAGGGTGGGTCCTAAATGTAGCCCCGCCCCCCAAGAGCCATCGGACTCGCCTCTTGGGGCCCTCGTGGGGCGTTCTTGGCTCGTCTTGGGGCCGTCTTGGTGGCCTCTTGGGCGCATCTTGGAGCTCTCTTGGGCCATCTGAGGGCCATCATGCGGCCTCAAAAGCGCATCGGAAGCGAAAAGGCCAAACGGCAACAATCATTAATTGTCCTAAGGTTTTGACGGATTTTGGCTTCTCGGGGAGGTCCTGAGGGGTCTCCCAAAGCACCTGGATCCGTCTTGTGGCACTCTTGGGGCCTCTTGGAGGCATGTTGTTAGCTATCTTGAGCCTTGTTGGGCTATCTTGAGCGATCTTGGAGGCCATTTTGGGCTCTCTGAGGCCCTCTTGAAGCTATCATGGGCCATCTTGGGCGCTCTAATACCTTCGGCCCCTCCCCGTCCAGGTCCAGGGGTGGGGAGGGGTAAATCCCTCCCCGAAGGGAAGAGGGGCTCTTGGAAGAGGGAAGAGCAATACTGGCAGACCAGCTACGCCCAGAGGGCTGGTGAGATTTGTGTAACCTTGTCGTTGAGGGAGACCGTGGTTCGCAGCAAAATGCTCCCAAAAGGCTCCCAGGAGACTTCAAGTGACCTCCAACAAGCCCTCAAAAAGCTCGTGATGCATCCAAGGGGCTCTCCCAGGAGAGGCCTCCGCAGAAGAACAGCTGGGGAAGATGGAGAAGGGTTCGCAGGCTATGGCGAGAACGAGGAAGAGGTAAAGGACAGATGATTGAATGCGAAGGAGGATCATTTATCATGCTGGTGGCGGAACACGGTAACAACGCGGTATCAGTATTCTTGCCCAGCCGTATGCCATATTTGAAGGGTGACCAGGGTGCATGGCGCGAGGCGCCATCACGATTTGTTCTACAGAGTGTGCAACTGTGTATTTGTGTATGGTGGTGACGTTGCCTCGCTCTGTTCCAATACGATATGTATAAGTCTCGCCCCTCTCCCTCTCTCTATCTGCCTCTCTGTCTCCCCCTTCTCGCAGCATGTGCTGTGCTGTCTCTATATGCATGTATCGATGTGTATGTATACACGCATGTAATCGTCTAGTTGACTATCTCCCTGTGTACAGAATAGATGCATGCGTACTTCTGGATCGTAATTCATACATAGTAACGGCCCTCTCTCACCTCCTATGTCTCCATGTACATGTGTATGCGCATACGCATGCGCCCGTATGCAT